GTCTTTCTAAAAAGGAAAATAAGGTGTTGCAGCTTTTGCTCTGTTGTACTGGTATGTGTGCATGGCTACGCAATTTAAAAAAGCAAAACAAAGACTTTACTTTATAAGACTGTTCAGCTATTTACCAAAGATAGTACCCAGAAGTCAGCTCTCTAAGCTAATTTCTTCTCAGTCTATCACTTAAACTAACTTCTCGCTTTCTTTTTTCTTAATGCTGGCATTTAGTATACGCTCCATACAACATTCAATTAGCATGCCTATTATGAGGTAATGTATGCATAATCCAGCTCTTGGGTCTATTTCTTTTCATGTGTGGAATCAATGAATTTGAACTTAAGTCAACTAACATAGATTTAAAACTAAAAAACCCACCCAACTTTGTAATGGGTTTCTTGTACTAACATATAGGATAAAATTTGTTCTATTTCTGCTTAATGGTGGTGGTTATTGCACATCCGGAATGACCTGCTGTTTGGAGAACAAGAACAACTTTTCCCTGCCTGGTAGAAATGTAATGTTATTAAATGATTACAAGTTTTAAAGGCACTAGCTTGGCATCTGTTTTAGGACAATGAAAATGAGTAAAAAATACTGTGGTTTCACAAAAAGCTTCTTGCTGACTCAGAGTGCTTGCCTTTTCTCTTCCCTTGCTTGGCACTGTGTCCCTCCATCTCCTGAGAGTCTGGTTTGATATATACATATGTCACTGTGTGCTTTCCCAAATGAAAGAGTGCAGCTAAGAGTGGGTGACCTACACAAATACCAAACAATGCGGGGTGGGAAGCTTAAGATCTCTTTTGGAAAAAAAACCTTCTGTCTTTCATCTTTATAATTTGTTTTTGAGCCTGCTACAAATTATTAGGCTACGTCTGCTGCAGGCAGGTGTTTTCCATCCTGCATAGAGGCAGGGAAAAAGAGGTGTACAAGCTATTGCAGAAATTTTCAAATTGCAGTGACAGCTACTTGGAGCACTAAGCCACTCTTGTGACTGTAATAAATACTACACTGGCCCTCAGCACTGAAAATCCCAAGCTGTCCTGCTCTTCATATGCAGAACTTAACATTCATAATCACAGCTGTCTCCAGCACTTACAAGGCAAGGGGGAGTCTCCCATAAATGTAATGTGTTAGCAGAAAATGCCACTGTGAACCACGCTTTGTTAATTGAACACACAGCCTATTAAATTAAACTAGTTTTCCTATAACAAGTGAAAAAAAACCTCTGATGACAAGCTTTCTTCAGCAATAATGTACTAGGCTAACCAGAAGGGATGAGCAAGCTTTTCTCTTTGAAATCACTGGGAATAATAAGCTAAACCTAAAACACTTGCTAGTTCTCCCATGTTGTGATGAAAGATCCTATCACTAAGCCTGGCAAAGCTCAGTTGCCAAAGATATAAATGAGCTACAACTTCAGTGTGTTTTAGTTTTTTAGTACTCGGGGAGATCCAGATCTAAACTATTTTCAGGCTACCCTTAAACCGAGGGAAGAGCTCCAAACAAACCAAACTCCTGCTGACGTTGCAAAAAGCAACTGTCTGCTTGTTTTTTGATATTTATAGACTAACCAGATATGTTTTTAAGTCTGTGATTCCTTTTTTTTTTTTTTTTTCTCCTAGAAATTCTCCTACTTTCAAATCCTTTGAGGAAAAAGTTGAAAACTTAAAGGTAAGCATTACCAAAACACCTTTGTGATTGTGGAGCTGTAGATGTGGAAAAAAGACTGAAGTGGATTCTGGGCAGCCCGTTCTCTAGTTGTTGGTGAATTCTTGAAGGTGCTTAGATTACGTCTTTTTAAGTACTGTGGAAATTGTTTCTCTGCATAATGACTTGAGAATAAAAAATGGGCTTCCTGCACCTCTTACAGGAGGATGCCTTTAACTAGAACTACCAGCTAGCTAACTTGTGCAAACAGCTATACAACGTACCTGGTATTATGTATCCAAAATTGGCTAGGCTTTTATTTCCATGCCTTCCTAAGGACTAGTATCCTACACAGGAGAATAGCTTGGGCTGTTTCTCTTATTTCTGGCATAAAATATCCAAGGCCTTTGTACCTTAATTTATAATTTACTCACAAAAGCTTCAAGTGCCAGAAACAACCATTAATAGCTTCTCCAGATTAAAAAAAAATAATAATACCTTTAAAAATAACTAATCGATGTAACTGGAACCAGATTTCACTTTTCTGTGAGTACACTGGGTTGGATGAAGAAACATGCAAGTGATAGCATGGGGAACTAGGCATTCTCTTGCAAACTAATTGGCATTAACACTCCTGCCATCCCACAGGATATATACTGTAGAGGGAAATGAAAAGGCAAACACATCACCTGGAGAAAGTAAAATAGTTGCTATGCTCCACTAAAGATCTCAGGAATTGCTGTTGAGATTGAAAACTGTTCAAGGTTCTTTCTTGAGCAATACAGAAGTGAGTTTTAACTGGGAATCTTTCAAAGTCTAAATGGTTTGAAAGGCTGCTTACCTGTATATCTGCTTTTAACGGAGGGTGTGTCAACCTTCAGACTCCCTGGAATCAGGGCTGCTGCATGCTTTTGTTGCCTTGAAGTCAAAGGGAGACTGCTGTGTGAGTCTGCTGCTGGTGATTGTGTTCCACGTGATGCTTAAAGACTTGTCTTTCGAGTGCTGTGGGGGTAGCCCGGTCCTGGAAAAGCTGCTCTGCTGAAAAGAGTTATTAAACTTTCTCATGTGGAGGTGCTGGTTTTATGCAGTTAAGCATGTTTGATATGCCAGGTAACTGCTCTCTCTCTGTGTTCTAGTCTAAGGTTGGAGGAAGCAAACCTGCCAGTGGAGACTTCGGAGATGTTCTTAACTCTGCTGCCAATGCCAGTGCCACAGAAGCTATCGCAGAACAGACACAGGAGGAGACCCACTGAGATCCCTGCCTCTGTCCTGCTACCCACTGCCAGATGCTGCAAGCAAAAACTAAGCACACTTGTAACATTCTTTGCGCTCTTTCCACCAGATGTGCTTTTATTTAGCACTTAGCTATTTTACCAGATTAACTGATACCAGGCTTGTTTGTGGGTTCAAAATATTTTTGAAACTAAAATACATTGTTTAGGGTTTTGTGTGGGAAGGGGAATTTTTATGCCTTTCAAGCATGTAAAGGACTTATCTGTAATTTGAAGGCAACCTTTAAAATATAGCAATGAAAAAAACTCTTTTGAGAAGTTAATTATACTGTATGTATACTGTGGATACACAACTTCTTTTGAATCTATATCTACTATTCAACTGAATCATTATGAATCTACTGCTGCTGCCAAAATGAAGCTTGTTATTTCACTCCCTTGTGATTATTTCAGTTAAGTGTTGCCAGCACGGGGGACACCAGACTGTGAGGATCACTTCCAGCCAAAGAAAGGATTTCTACTTCAGCAGGCTTTAAACAAGTTATTCATGGGGGAATTACATACGGGTAGGAGCATGCTGTCTTATGAGCCAGTTCCTCATACAACAGATGCGGATAGGGTAATAGATACCATCTAAAACTTGATGATTTGTCTGTGGATTATCCATCTAGGAGACTTCTGACCGTTGCAAATGGAAGCAAGGTGCCCAGTAGTACTGGTTTGGTTCAGTTAAAATAACGTTTTCAGTCTTGTTTTTTTGTACCTGATGTTAATGTGGTAAGATGCTCTTCTGAACTTTTGATCAGTCATGAATAGATTCATCTTAATTCACACATGGTGGTGTCCCACTTACACTAACAAAGCATGGGCTGTAAGAATAAGCCTGAGCACAGAAGTGGTTCTTTTTTAAGCATGAGGAGAATTGCTCTCAAATGCTACTGTTGTTTCCCTTCTAGGCTGACCATTGAAAACATCTGCTATGCATTCTTCATATTTTTTTTTATGTGTGAAAAACCTGTACCACTTGCACTCCTATTCCTGTTCAAGACTCCAGAAACCTGTTGTGAGAGGTGCACCGTGTGGTACCGCAGCATAGCTCTCCCGCAGGGTCTGTTCTCCTACGTGTTGCTTTACCTGTTGTGCTTTTCAGATTTCTTGTGTTTTGTATGTTTCTGGCACAGGGTGTCAGTAAGGTTAGAACTTTTGGCAAATGTTTATCACCGTAATTAGAACTGGAAACAAGTTTTGAAACATTTGTGTGAAATCCATGAAACTTCAACTGCCACAGCTGTCTGGGGAGAAAAAAAACTCGGGTCCCAACAACCCCGTTAACATGTAATATATAGAATATATGCTTAATTACATGTGAGAAGCTTAATAAAAACCTGTATGTGAGGAATGTATTGTCCTGCGAATATGGAGGATTACACAAATGGTTATTTCTAATTGAAACAGCCCGTTCAGTTTGGTTTGGAAGCAGTGCTGATGCACAGCGCTGTTCGAGGGGGGACCTGCAGAGGTGAACTTGGAAGACTCGGCCGAGGTTCCAGGGGCTTACATGAAGCTGAACTGCCTGGATTACAGAGGGAAGTTCAGAAAATAGCCTCTGACAGCAACCCTGTACGGAAGGAATGGAGACCTGAATGACAAAGCCAGAGCCGAGCTCTTCCTCTGTAAGGTCAATGCCATGTACGGCAGGTCCTTCTCGAACATGGCCTTTGTTGTATGGGTTCTTTTTTTATTTATCTAACTGATGAATAGAAGGGTTGTCTCGTTCGGAGTAGGGCGTTGTGGGTTAGGATGATATTTTTTAAGGCCGAGGTTTTTAAGGCCGTATCGTTGGTTCTGTAACCCATCACACGGCCTTGCAGCTGCAGCCTCGCATGAGCTCGCCCTTCGGCGGGGCGGGACGGCGCGGCCAGGGGCGGCTCTCCCTGCCCTGTCCTACCCCCGCGACCCGCCTCAGCGGCAGCCCAGCAGCGGACACCGGGCGGCCCCCTCAGCCGGCGGTGCTCCTCCTGAGGGACGCTCCCTCACACAAGATGGCGGCCGCGCCGCCTCAGCCCCGCCCGGTGCGCCTGCGCCCGCCGCGTGCCGGGGAGCTGTGCGCGCGGGGTCGGGGTTCACGCGCCGCCCCGCCCCGCACGCGGACAGTGATGGCGGCGCCGAGCTGGGGCCTGGCGGCGGCGCGGGCAGCGCTCCGGCCCTGGCGGCGGCTGGCGGTCAGGCAGTGCGGGGGTACCGCGCCGGCGGGAGCGACGGATGCCGGCACCCCCCCGCAGCAGACGGAGGAGCGGCCGGGCGGCGGTACCGCGGCCTCCGGCCCCCGGCAGGTGAGGGCGTGGCGGGGAGGCCGGGCCGGGGCAGCGGCCGGGGGCGGTTCTGAGGTGGCGGGGCCTGGCTGGGCTTCTCGGCATGGCCGGGGGGTATGCTTCCCCAGCGCCTTACCTTCCTGAAATCCCGGCTCCGTGCACAGCGCGCCTCCGCCTGTTTGTCTCGCGCCTCCGCCTGTTTGTCTCTCGTTTCGCTTCTTCTCCCTGCTCAGTCGGCATCCCGCAGAAATGGGGGTAGTTCTTAGGCTTCCCCCCCCGCCCCAACATAGCCCTACAAAAATCCGATCTGGAAGACGTGCGAGTAGTTTTGCTTGTATAGAACGCGAGGTACAGGTCTGTGGACAAAACTGTACTCTGGCAGGGAAGCCGTAGAGAATCTTTGATTAAAACAATTTCAGCAGGTCGGATCAAAGGCCTGTCAGGTCAGTGCTCTGGGGATTTGTGGGGGAAGTAGGAAGCTTGGTGTGAATGAAACACCTGGAGAAATGCACGTGTGGAGGTGTCAACGGGAACAGCAGGACGGGGGCTGAAATAATGGCATGTATTAATGTGGAAAACCAGAGCTCAGGTCTGACGAGGAGAAGCTGAGGAAACTGGAGGTGTTCAGCCTGGAGAAGAAGATGTTGAGGGAAGACCTTGTAGCTCCGTATAACTACCTGAAAGGAGGCTGTAGTGACGTGAGGGTCAGTCTCTTCTCCCAATTAACAAGCAATAAGACAAGACAAAATGGCTTCAAGTTTGCTAGGGGAGGTTTAGATAGGATATTGGGAAAAAAATTCCTCACAGAAAGGGTTGTCAGTGACCGGAACAGGCTGCCCAGGGAAGTGGTTGAGTCACCATCCCTGGAGGTGTTTTAAAGACGTGTAGATGTGGTGCTGAGGGACATGGGTTAGGGGTAGCTTGGCAGTGCTAGGCTAACGGTTGGACTTGATGATCTTTAAGATCTTTTCCAACCTAAACGATTATATGATTTTGTGACACTGTTCTTGGCAGTAAAATTTGGGATCGTGATGTTCTTGTCAAGGCCTGCACTCTGATAAGCCCGGAGCACAGATGGTTCATCAAGAACAGACTCTGCTTCTGAACAACAGCAGGAGGGCAACAGGCTTGTATCATACCTTGTGTGCTGTTTGTTTTCCCATTACTCTGCCATGAAAACAAACATGCAGAGATGCACAGTGAGCAGCAGTCTGCTATGTATTGAGGCAGCAGTACGAGTCTGGAGCAAAGGACCACCCTGTAAATAACTGTTGACTCCTGAAAAGTGTAAAAGATTTGTCCAAAACATAGTTCATTGTTGCCAGACAGGAAGAACATGAGTGACGTGGTGAGACCTTGATAGCTGTCATCCTTTGTCCTTGGTGCTGCACTCAAGTGTTCCTGCCCACACCACTTTGGTATACGCTTCTTCTGTGTCTGTGGGAAATGTGAGCAGATGAAATGTGTAAAAGAATGAGTGAGTGGGTAAAACGACTGTAGAGAGTTTGTGGGTAACCATCACTTTCTCTAGCTGTTGTGTTGATTTTTATCATGCTGATTTTCCCCCAGTCTCTGTTGTGGTGGTGGCCGCTACCAGCCGTCTAAGGAAACTGAAAAAAGCAGTGTGTGTGTGCTAATGTATCCTGGAATATCACTTCCAGGCTGAGAAACTCGACCTCTGATTTTTCCTGAGGTGGAAGTGATTCCATGCTGCTCTTCATCCTTCCCACTCTGCTTTTTCCAACTTTTCTAGTTCTGTTGGAGCACATCAGGGGCTGGGATTACTTGGGGTGTGCCCGGTAGGATATGGAGATTAATGCTGTGGATTAATGGTGCAGGACTGGCCGGGTACTGGGAGTGTAGAACTAGAAATGCCTCTGCCACTGAATCCAGGACCTGATATCCAAATCACAGTGTAATCTGTAACACACTGTTCTCTGTTGAATATCCACACTGACAAGGCTGGCTGTGCTAGGGTCTGAGGTCTGTCTAACTCAGCCTCCTGGCTCCGGTGGTGTCCAAGGAGGATGTCCACAGAAGCATTTGGGAAGAGATCCAGGTGATTCTAGCTGTAGAAGATACTGAATACTACTTTGGGATTTGGGGAATGGGTTCCTTTCTTTTCTGTTGAAGTAAGAAGCTAGGAACATAATCTTTTTTGTGTCTGTCTATAAATAAGCGAGAAGCTAGGAACATAATCTTTTTTGTGTCTATCTATAAATCATGAAGCCTTTAAAGGTTCTGAACTAAATCTAATGTTACATCGTATTCATAACATCATGTCCAAATGGAATTATGTATGCAAGTATAAATAGTGCAATATAGAAATCAAACTAGGAATGTAAAATGAAGAGCTGGACTACAACTCTGGACTTCTCTGTGCTCTGCTGGATTACTTTCTCCCTTGAACAAACGAAAAACCCGTGACATGGTAATGGTAAAAGCATAACAACAGATGAAGTCAGACTGTCATGAGTCTACTGTCATGCTGTTCTTAGCCCAGTTAGCAAAGTGCTCAGTGAGCCCAAGTATGATTGATGGTTATTTGCTGTTTGTTCTTAAAAGAACGTGCAGAAGAGGGAGTGAGTTTTGGTGAGAATGAGTTAGCGCTGAGAGATGGGATACTGAAACAGGAGGAAGATGAAAGGGGTCTGACTTGCGGTGTAACCTGTTGGTTCTGTGTAGTATTCTTGAAAAAACCTTTTCACCAATTTTAACTACTTTTTGATTGCTGGGAAGTGTATTATTTTGTAACTAAGCTTTCCAAAACTGGGGGCATCTCTGAGCTGGGTAATACTCACGGGAGGACGTACTGGATGCAGCTGGAAGAACTTGAAGCATTAAAAGATGTTTTGAGAAAATCCTTTTAATGGGAGCAACACGCTTTCCTCAGAAGAGGGTGCTGTGGCTCTAGCTGCAGTGCTTTTTTGGGGTGTCATGCATCTGCAGGATCTGCTGTTTCAAGCAGAAATGTCTTTCTCATCCCTTACGTGAGCCACAGCTGAAGGAAAGCTTGTGTTCCTTGTCTCTGCTGGCAAAATAGACAGATACAAAGTGCTGGCTGGCTTCTGGTGTGCTTGTGCCCTGTGGGAGTACAGAGTGTTACTTGGGTCCTTAGTGTTTCTGTTTCTTCAGGAAAAGAAAATATGGAAGTTTGACATTTCTGCACCAGTTTCCTATGTCAGATGGTTTTCCCTCTTTTTTTGAAACTGCATGAATGAAAGGCAGTGGCTTATTTTATAAGAATGGTGGGAAGCTTGATAGATGAGCATGTTAACACGCGTTTGTTTAAGATAATTAATTTTTCCTAGATAGCTTTTTTGGGCACAGCAGCAAATGCGTACTGCTGGCCTGGCTTAGTAGTTGCCTGGTGTTATTCTCTGTTGTGTTGGTAATTATTTAGGGGCTTGTGTTTTTGCTTTTCACCTTAACTTGGCAGTTCTGTTGTTACTGTTTTGCAAATAGTCACACTTGTGGCAGGCACTTAAATGTTGATTAAAATTGTTAAAATCATAGCAACATGGTAAGCAAAATGATCTCAGAAACCCACATGATGTTTAATCCTATCTACACCAGGCACCTTACTTCTTGCTTCTTTTTCCTTCTGTATTTTTGTAATGTTTCAGTTTTGCATTCTTAAACTCAACCAAAAAAAAGACAAGTTTTAAGTTCTGTTCTTCTCTGTGGAATTAAATAAAGAAATCCTTTCGAAGGACAGGAAATGCTTTAGGTGTTACCTTTGTTTGCAGACTGAAGCTGCCTCCCTAGCGAAATAGGAAACCTTGCCTTTTAGGTAGGATGTGATGATTGTTGTTGATATCAATAGAGAAGTGGTTGTTGGAACTGTGTTCTTAGTTGGGTTATCAACTCAGAAGAAGAAATGTAAGATTGAAGTAACTAATTAAGAATAAATTGCATATTTTTGTGCACTGTGAACTCAATAGTCTAAAAATGTTTTGGAAAAAATGAACGGTGAAGTTTGTCAAATAGGTTTTTAGGTAGCAATGAGTTATCGCTGTGATAGCTTTGCCACTGGGCTGCAGCCTGTAGCACAGTGTGTTAAAATGTCTGTTGGTGCTTTTTTACATTATAGTGACAGGGCACAAACGGTCAGGTTGGTGTCAGAGCTGGGTGAGGTGGGCAGGAATAGAGGCTTTGCTCAGCAGCAGAGGTTTCCAGCCGTGGGTCCCCCGAGGCAGCAGGGCAGGGATCCTGCACTCGAGTTCAGGTGAACCCAGCGCAGCACAGGGCATTGCTTCTTGCTGGATGTGGCAGCACAAGTAGCACATTGGAGGAGTCTCCTGCTTAGTTCCTTGAAAAACGTGTTTTAAGGAAAAGTATTCTTCAAGAAGAAATGTAACTGACTTTTTTCCTTAAGTTCAGATAGAAGGGACTGGGTTGGTATCAGTACATCATAATGACTAATTTCTGAAAGAGAGAAATTAGAAATTATTCTTCCAGAAATGTATGTATTTTAAATTTTCTTAGCCAGAGCTTCTTTCCTGAAAGGATTCAGAAATTTGAGGAGGGTGCCTGTGTACTTAAATTTCTTGTCACTATTTTAAAAAAATAGAATATCAATGTTCATAAAGAGAAGAAAATAAAACCTATTTTAATAAGTGATGTAGAGAGTTGCCTTATCTGTGTATGTTTTAGGGGAAAGACTATAAACTAAAGCACAAAAATGATAATGTTAAAGGAATTTATTACACTTCTGTTCTGAAAGCTACATGGATATTCTTCATAAAGGATGTATATCTGTCTTGCTTATGCAGTACCTTGGCAACCTCCGTTTCAAATTATGTGTAACACTGGATGTTTTGAAATCAAGCATTAAAAAAATTGTCTTGCTTATGCAGTACCTTGGCAACCTCAGTTTCAAATAATGTGTAACACTGGATGAATCAGAATTTTATTTAATGTAACTTTTGATAGGAAATATTTCTCTCAATCTATCTTCTCACCTAAGCTAACAGAAGACAATTTAACTGAAGTTACAGTTATTTGAGAGAGTTATATTT